GCCAAGTGGCAGCATCGATGGAGTCAAGCATGGCAACAGTAGTGAGGTTGGCCCAAGATCAGGCAGTGTTTTGTTCTGCTGTGCATAAGGTCACTATGGGTCGGTACCAACTCAATGGCACCTAACAACAACAACCTAGTCAACAGATTTGACGTCTTCCATATTGCTGCCCATTGCAAAGAAAGGTGACAGAACAGAATGCAGAAATCATATAATAATATCAATATTATCACAGGCAAGTAAAATTTTGCTGAAGGTAATTTAAAAAGAGTTGTAACAGTACATCAATAGGGGACTACCAGAAATTCAAGCAGATTCAGTGGAGGACGTGTAATGAGGGATGTTATTGCTGACATCAGATGGATCTTGGCTGAAACCAGAGAATACCCAGAAAGATTACTTGGGTATTACTGACTATGCAAAAGCTTTTATCTATGTGGATCATATCAAATTAGCGATAACACTGTGAAAAATGGGTAGTCTAGAACACTTCATTGTGCTCATGAGGAACCTATACATAGACCAGGAGTCAGTTGTTCAAACAGAACAAGGGAATACTGAATGATTTAAAATCAGGAAAGAGGTGTGTCAGAGTTACATTCTTTCACCATAATTATTCAACCTGTATGCTGAGCAAGTAATATGAAGAATGTGGCATCAGGATTGGAAGCAGCTATTCTCCAGTCACATTTTGGGTGCCTACCAACAGGAGGAGCTCATCTTCTGGCACTATATCTGACAATGTGCTACTAGTAATGTTTTCATATTCTAACACTGTATATCTGACAGTGTTCTGCTGCTATTCATAGTGTTTTCAGTGGCTATCCATTCAGAATTAATATGCCTCTCTTCCTTCCTAGTCTGTTTTAAAAATCTGCTGAAACCTGTTCACAATGGGTAACCTTGCTCCTTGCTGGTATTTAAAATATCAGTGGCATATCTTCCAGCATCACAGCAACATGCAAACCACCACCATATGACAAACTGACAGACAAGTGGTAGTGTTTTCTCTCTAGACTTCCATAATAGCATAATTCAGTACACTGACCTCTTTTACAATTAAAATGGAGTTTAAACCATATGGTTTAGTCATATTTGTAAGGAACATTAAGCAATTGTGTTGTTACTTTCGTATTTAAACCCCTTCTGATCTAAATGCTAATGCTAGGAAATCTTTAGATTTATTCACTCTTTTTTATGAATTGCCTATATGTGGAAAAAATCTAGAGGACTCAGATGAAATTTTTACCCAACATTTTAATTTTGTAATATATAAAAATTGAGCAGTAAACAAATATAACTGTAACTGTAATCAATACTTGGAGTGCTAATTTTATATTTGAAGATAGAAGGAAAATTGAGGCCATAGGATAAACTGAGGCCAAAGGACAAGAGAATTGAGAAGGATAAAATATGATGAGAAAGTGTATCCTTACAACGGGTGGGAGAAAAGAACTATCATACTCAGTAGATTTAGCTGTTGTTTTTTTGTTTTTGTTTTTGTTTTTTTCTTTTTCTTTGCAAAAAAACACAGTCACTAATTTGACTTATGATAATTAACAACTGACATAACAGAAACGTTTCCCAAATGAGAGGGCAGGATATAGAGTACTGTGTCTTTATTTTATAAATATTCTATTGAACTGTGGAGTCCTGGTGTGGCGCTGTGGGTTAATGCACTGTACTCTGGTGTCGCTGCTTCTCTGGATAGGCTCCCACATTCCACTCGTGCTCTTCTCCCTTGATGGTCCTAAGGTCCTCTATTCCTGGAATGTCAGTTTAATTACTCCCTCATTTTTGTTACAAAACTTCTACCCAGTTGTGACAGTTGCAATTAGTCAAGGTAACAGTTACTCACTATTGAATCATAAGAATCTTATCCCTATCTCCTTTCACCAGACCCATCTAGACAAGATGAAAACTGTTCAGTGGAGATTCTACTTCCCCCTGCACACACTCTGAAACTAAATTCCCTCTTGAAAACTTGTAAGTCTGTCACTTCATCCCTTCATTGCCCCCCCCACACACACTTTTTAGGTAGCCAATGTCTAAGTTGCCTGTCCCTATCACCCCCTTTGTACAGAGGGGATAGGAATGATCCTTGATGTGAAGACACCTTCCCTGTCAGTTGGTGTTTTGAGCTACTGCATCCATAAGTATAGGTCATGTTCATCAAATTGTAGCATTTTATACTTGTTTCCTTTGTCAAAAATTTTTTTTTTTTTTTAGTCATCCTCTAGTTGAGTTCTGATCATCAAGCCATTGAAGCTAGGTCGAATGGGTACTATCTATAAGCTTGGCTGTTCTTGTGTGTCTCCCCTCACTTCATATCAACTGGATGTTTCACTCTCAACTCTACTCCTCCGTGGCTATATCCTTGTTCATGAGCTCAGGAGTCCCCAGGTCTCACCATACTTTGGACCAACCTCCTCTCTCTCACCTAAGCATTCCTGTTAAGACTAAACAGATATATTGGTAATCCTGACAAGGACTGTTGTAGTTGGATAGTTTAAGGTAGAAGTCCCACTTGTATGAGTTCAAGAGTGGACAGGAGAAGAGTAAATAGAGACAATACATATCAATGAGAATATTAAGAGTCATTGCTATAAAGGAGAGAAGAAGCATGGGGAGATGGAGGGTCAAGGAAGAGGTTTTTTGTATTTAGTTTTTGAATATTATGACTTGTTTGTCTGTGGTTGGATGTGGTGCATTAAAAAGGGAAAGTTATGGTACAGAGAAGATTGAGGGCATTTTCTGTAGCAGTAGCATTGGGTTGGCAAGGAGAGATGGGAGCCTTTATATAAATTCAGGGTTGGGTTTAGATGAGAACATGGGCACTTCACGCATGATAACAGGGTGTGCGAGCAGAATATATAGGAATAGTTATAATACAGTGGCTGTGAAGGGTTACTTCTAATTGCTTCCATTTTCCAATGAATGTTCCAGGCTTTCCATTAAGAGTATCTGAGAAAGGAGAGAGAGTGAATAGGTGAAGAAAATGGAAAAGAAGTGGGTTTCAGACGGCCATGTATTTGATGGAAAACACCTGGTCTGCTTTGCATATTTGTATTACCGGCTTGGTCCTTGAAGTTATTATAGTTTGGGAAACTGATCTATATTCTTTTCTCTGTTTCAGTTAATGTACTTCTCTCTTAGCTCTCAACCCCCCTTTTTCTGAGAAATAAATGTAGTTGTTTGTTTGAACAAGGTTAAGTATTCCATTTTCTCTTAATATAAAGCAAAGTAAGCAGCAAAGTATTTTTGGAGCCTCTTTTATGCTCAAACATGTTCAACTGCTCAGTTGTATTTATTCTTATCAATTGCAGTGTCAAAATAAAAGCAAAGAACTAGTGACATCTTAGATTTCACTCTCAGATTTAAAAAAATATATAACACTTTTTTTTCTGTTTCTTTCAGATGTTCTTAATCGTTGCTCCTCTTTCTGTCCTGTATAACTGGAGGGATGAATTGGACACCTGGGGATATTTCAGAGTCACTGTCTTACATGGTAACAAAAAAGACAATGAACTGATTCGTGTAAAGCAGAGGAAATGTGAAATTGCTCTCACAACTTACGAAACACTGCGCTTCTGTCTGGATGAACTTAACAGGTGATGGTAGTGGCTGTGTTAGTACTTGGCTTACATCAGCTCTTTAGCCTGAATTTTCTGACATAATATAAAGCACAAAGGAGGGAGATCCCAAACAAGATGGATTAGCACAATGGTAGCACCAATGGGCTCAAGTGTACCCACAGTTGTGAGGATGTTGTAGGACTGGGCAGTGGCTCATTATATTGTTCGTACGGTTCATATGAGTTAGAACAGACTCGATGGCATCTAACAACAACAGCATTCTTAAATTTTAAAAACTTCATATTCTTAACATGATTTAATTTG